AAAGATAGTGTATCTTTGTATAATATCAAATAAGACTATAATAGTAGGGGTAAACTGCAGTACTTCCAGAATCCTCTCACCTGGCCTTAGTCCATCTCCAAATCAATAGGTGTTTCCAAGGAGTGGAGACAAGTGGTCTATCTCCGTATCAATAGGTGATTACATGGTAGGTGGAGAGTGAGCCCCATCAGCCCCACCTGGAGAGGTTTGGTGGGGATTTTTGCAGCCCAGTAGGGAGAGACATGGGGGAGCAGGAATAGATGACTGCTTGTAAGCAATAAACAGGTTTCTCTCAGTTTATTTCCCCCTTTGATTGATTTTAGCTTCAAAGGGTTATTTGCCCCAGGTTAGGAACATATTTTCCCATGGAGGTTCACAAAGAGTCAGTGAGGAAGAGCTGAACTTGGCTAAGAGCTGTTTTTTCTTTAACATACTCCAAAGGGTTAAGGATTTTTATATTTCAGGTAGAGAGGGAATATTTCTTCTTCTTTGAACTTGGAGTTTAAAAAATAAAGTGTTTTTAGGAGTTGCTCTGCCTTTTTGCACCCAAAAATATGGGTATTTCTCAATAATGATAGTAATAGGTAGCACTTACTGAGTACTTATTACAATCTTGTCATTCTTCTAACCATTTGATCCCCATTTTCTGAAAAATCCTCCCAACAATCACATATTAAAAATACTGTCATTCTTCATTTGTAGGTGAGTAAATGGAGCTTCAGAGAATTTATGCCATACGTACTAAATATGTGCCTCCTAGTTGATGGCCTATTCTTTATCAGCCTAGTAAAAGGGGCTAAAAGAAATTTCACGCAAGCCAGAATAGTTTCCCTGATGTCTGGCAGATTCCAGATGTACCCTGCCCTTGCCACACCTTCCCTTGCTTGTTTTTATTATGGAGTAATTTCTTACCACTTGCCTGAACTTTCCTGTTGTCTGACCTGTAACACCATTGACACTACCATATTCATTGCCATACCTAAATGGATTTCAAAGCTTCCAAAGAATTAGAAAACTCCTCTAGCTCTTCATTGTCTGGAATCTTCTGTTCTTGTTTGATGAAAGAATTCTCTCTTCCCCCGAAGGTGAAGAAAATTTAAAGTCTAACATTCTCAGTGCTTGCTTATTCCAGACCTGAACGTTTAGCCAGAATTATTACTCAGTTTTAGAATCTGGGCAAATGAAACTCTTTTGCACTTCAGCTTATATGGTTATTAGCTTTAAAACTTCCTAGTGTTGATGATAAACTCTCTGGGGTGAAGTAAAAGCAAGGACAGCATTTTCTTTATGGTGCTAGTAAGGGGACTTTGCCATCCTCTCTTGTGCTTTCTCTAAAATGGGTCCTTCCAAGCTATTGAAAGAAATGAACAGAGGAGGAACTTACAGCCAACACTGGTAACTTTTGCTCCCTCTAGGGTATGGCCACAACACAGGGATTATCCAAGATGTCCAATAAGATACTGGTCTAAATACTGGCAACTAGAAGGAGCAGTTGCTGCTAATCCTTTCCCCATGAATGACAGCTAACAAAATCAAAAGGAAGGGTCAGGTTCTGTGGTTCTGTTTGTTTCCTTGGCAACTTGGGAAGACCATGGCCTTTCCTGAGAATTAAGGTAAGGAAAAACTGTAGTGATGTTACTATGTACTTGTCTCCTATTGCTGTCAGACTGGATGCTTAACATATTTGACCTCAATTTAGCCTCCAACAATCCTATGAGGTAGAGACTATTAATATCTCCATTTTATAAATAAGGAAACAGAGACATGAAGAGATTAAGTAACTCAGAGAGAGGTTTCCAACCTTTGTCTTTTTCTATGGAATTTTATAGCATGTGTTTTTCTAGTATCTCATAAAAATAAAGTGTGGAAAAAGAAGCAAATCAAATAGTCCACTGATAGTGTCAGCTACCTACTCTAGGTTGTTACTGTACTCCACACTTGTCATACTCAAATTAATAAACGTCTGTACAGCAAAAGATACCATCAGCAAAACAAAAAGGCAACCCACAGTATAGGAGAATATATTCATAAATGATATATCTGATAAGGGGTTAACATCCAAAATATGTAAAGAACTCATACAACTCAACACCAAAAAAACAACCCAATTTAAAATTGGTGGAGGACCTGAACAGACATTTCTTCAAAGAAGAAATACAAGATGGCCAACAGCACACATGAAAAGATATTCCACATCGATAATCATTAGGGAAATGGAAATCAAAACCAATCAACATGGCCACTATTCAAAAGACAAGAAACTACAAGTGTTGGTGAGGATGTGGAGGAAAGGGAGCCTTCCACCCTAGAAATGTAGTTGGTGCAGCTGCTATGAAAAACAGTATGGAGCTACCTCAAAAAACTAAAAATAGAAATACCATATAATCCAGTAATTCCACTTCTAGGAATTTACCCAAAGAAAACAAAATATCTGATTTGAAAATATATATGCACCCCTACGTTTATTGTCACATTATTTACAATAACCAAGATATGGAAGCAACTGAAGTGTCCATCAACAGATGAATGGATAAAGAAGTGGTAAATATACATGATGGAATATTACTAAGTCATAAAAAAAGAAATCCTGACATTTGCAACAACATGGATGGACCTAGAAGGTATTATGCCAAGTGAAATAATACACTTACTTGTGGAATTGAAAAATAAAACAAAACAAAATGAAATGAACAAAATAGCAGTAGACTCATAGGCACTGAGCAGTGACTGGTGGTTACTGTGGAGGAGGGGTTGAGGTGGGTGAGTGGGGAGAGGGAGGGAGTTAAAGTAACACCAAAATTCTTAATCATAATAAAAGCTAGTCACAGGGATGGTAGTACAGCATGGAGAATATAGTCAATGATTCTGTAACATCTTCCTATATTGACAGGTATTAACTGCACTAGTTGGGGGAGTGAGGATTTAACAATAGGGTAACTCTTGAACCACTGTGTTGTATACTTGAAACTAATATATATGATTGTTGACCTACTGTACTTCACTACAAGAAAAGAAAAACAGCATTCCCCTACCAGAAGAAAGAAAAAAAAAGGAAAGAAAAGAAAGAAAGCAAAAAGAAAAATTCCAGACTGATTGGGAAGGCTAAAACTGTTATTACATTAAGCATTAAGCCCAAGTTTGGTGAGCTAGCCCAGCACTCTGCTCTTGGGCCCTTGGCTTTTCTTTTCAAAAAGGCTATCTTCAAGATCCACAGCTCTCACCCAGACACCTCTAAAAAGAGACTGTGTTCACCAAGTTTGCCTATCAGGAATTCACTGTCCTTCTACTAAACACTGTCAGTGAAAAATTCATTAAAATCACCTTGAAAATAAAGACAGTTTTATTAAAGCCAAAGTTTTGGACCTAGAATGGGGAAGAGGTAATTCCTACAGGCATACAGGCAAAAAGGGGACAGGCAAGAGAGACAGAACTTCAGTGGGGTCTATTTCATTTACATAAGATATATTATGTAAAGAAAAAAGTTGGCACTAAAGGAAGTTAGGGGAAAAGGAAAGCATGTGGCTTTATCCTTTTAATAGGAAGATGGATGCAAATATTTTGCCTTTAACTTAATAAATAGATGGCTTTCTTTTTCTAATTTTTGTGAGTGGCCATTTCAGGCTCCTAAAGTTAAGGAAATCTTCAATACTTAGGCCTTACAAATCTTTTTCGTGGTCCTTAGTGCAGTGGTCAGTATCTCATAAGATGTATAGCAGGGTCTCCTTGCAGAGGTCCTACACTCTAGCTGTGCCACCATATGGTGTTTTTGTACAAGAAAAATAAAGTGAATTAATTAATATTATTAGAAAAAAAATCACATATGAGACATGTTAACTATACATTATCCTGGACCTCATCTTCAGATACTCTGAATTCAAGGGGTTCTGCTGCTCTAGGACTAGTATTTTATTATACTCATATTTCAGAAGCTCAGCAAGACCATGCAGAGAAGGGTCTCTTACTGCCCCATCCTGGAAGGTTACTTTAGTTTGGTCCCATGAAGCCATAAATACCCATGGCACAGACTCCTAGTGGTTGACTTAAAAGATTTAGAAGTCTGGAATTCTAGCCTGCCAACATGGAGACCTGTCTTCGCCTCATCAAGTAATTATCAACATGCTTCTTTCTGTTTGCAATGAAACTTTCCTTCTTTAAAAAACTTCTTTATATTCTGCATATAGAGTTAGTTGTTAACTCTCGATTTCTAACACAATATCTCTTTTTCAATTGTACCATTTCAGGCCCTTAATTCACTATCTTTGACTATTTGGATGACCTAATGTTCTCTTTTACCTCCTTATTAATCCATTCATAAAACTCTCTCGAGTCAAAAACCTTCATTTCCTATCACCAGAGAACCAAATCCATAAATGTCAGTAGTTCAGACTTCATTCAATTGAACTGGAGATTTTCAGTATTTGAAGACTTGAGGGAAAAAATCAAATATTTTTGGAGGACTTAAGTTTTTTATTTGCATACTGGAAATATTTTAATTTTTTTCCAGGGAGTGGCCACTAATTTTTGCAGGCAAAAAGTGATTACGGCACAATTTTTTGAAAATAGAGTTTGCATAGTCTCTGTGAAGTAAATAAATTTCAGATGTTGCAGGGCATACCCCTTCCGGGAAGAGTTTTGCTATTAGACTCTTACATTGCTAAGACTCTAGAGAGCAGAAGTGAGCCACATTCAACCCGCCCGGAATTTGGTTGGGGAAGGGCGCGCGGGGGCCTTGATCGCGGCGGCTACAGTACGGCCTCCGGAGGGACGCGCAGTGGGCCGGTCTGCGGAGAGACGCCCCGCCCTGCGCCTTGCCCCGGAGTCTCCGGAGAGTCGCGTCTGTGGTTCCTGCAGCCTTTCACTGTCGCGGGCATGACTGCACGCCTCCTGCGCGCCTCCCTGCGCTGGTGGGGCGGCCGGTGCGTGCCCCGTCCGCCGACGGCCGCGAGGTGAGTGCCTGCGGGGCCCCAGCTCTCCAGGCGGGGAGGCTGCAGGGCCCGGGCAGCGACCACTGCGCTTCCCGGGGGCCTGGAACCCCGCGGCCCGCGCGCCCCAGGGACTGGCCGCCGCAGCTCGGGGTCTGGGCGGGAGACTGGGGTCGAAGGGCTGGGTCCAGCCAACATCTGCGGGGCGAGGGCCGGGGCGTCAGCGGTGCCCGCTCCCTGCTAAGGAGCCAAAAATGGTTTCGCCAAATGCTCGTTCTGTGGCCCCAGCCCGGCCCCTGGACCCTTCCGCCTGGGGTGGCTCCGGAAGCGGGGCCCCCACGCCTCGCAGATCCTGAGACCGCGCTGGCTACGCTGACCTGGAGGAGTGTCCCAGAAAAGAGAGCCGGGGGCAGGAAAGACCTGGTCACAGTCCCTCTCCCACCCCCCGTACGAGGAAATTAACTTGAGATCCATTTACAAGTCCCTTAATTAAATGCAGAGAGGTTAATGGAGAGGGTTTATAAGTGGCCCAGTGTCTGTTAAGGTAGCTTTTATGAGATCAAGTTTCCGATATCCTCCGACTTGTAAAATGTTCCTTGTGTTGTGAGGCAAGCCAGTCGGGGAGACCTCCCCGCTGGTTAGGTGAGACCTCAACCCCAGGAAAGGATTCTTACCTCTGCTTGAGAACGAATTCATGAGCAGGTCCAGCAGGTGCCAGTAAAGAGTAGTTTAACAACGCAAAAGTACGGTTAGGGACGGAGTGTGGGCATGCCCTAGAGATGAGCAGCTTCATCTCGGGGGAGTTCAGGGCTGGGTGGTCCTATAGCTGGAGTTTAAGCAGTTAGGGGAAGGTTCGTCAGGCTAGGTAGAGTTTTTCTGGGAATAGGGAGAATGGCCTGCCGTGGAGCTGTGTGGTGCCAAGGGGTATGATTTTTAGTATGCTAATGAGCTTATGATGTATTTGGAGGTGAAGTCAGAGTCAACTTCTCTTCCATGTTGGAACCATCCCGTTTGGGCAGGTTTGTTATCTATACCCTCACTCCCCTCATCCGTAGCAGTTTACATAGGATATAATCAAGCAGCTAACGGAACACGGGACGGAAGGCCCCAATCCCCTCCCTGCTCACGTCTGACTTACCTACTTACTATAACAATTGGATAAACAAACTGGGAGCATCCAGGGTCACTATTTAATGAGGGTGACAGGACTAATAAATTTGCACATTACTCTAAGATGCAATGGCAGTGGGGAAACAAAATACCTGCTTTTCCTGGAGAGAGTTGGGGAGAATTTATGGAAGAGGTGGCTTTAGGATACACTTACTTTTCTAAGCTCTTTCCCAGAACTTCATTAAGACAGTGATCCTCAACATTTTGGCAAGGAAAATTCACTTACGCTCTTAAAATTACAGGACCTTCAAGTATATTTTGTTTTTGTGGATTTTATCTATATCTATCAGTAGACATATAGAAAACAAATTTTACAAATACTTAGATAATTTAGAAGTAACAGTAGTCATTAAGTGAAGTGAAAAAAGTCGAAAAGACATACTGCCTGATCTCACTTACATGCGGAATCTTAAAAATTAAAAAACTCATAGATACAGTGAACAGATTGGTGGTTGTGGGGAGAGTGGCAAAGTGGGTGAAAGGTCAAAATGTACAAACTACTTCCAGCTATAAAATAAGTCATGGGTTGTAATGTGTAACATGGTGACTATAGTTAATTATGCTGTATTGTGTTTTAAAAGTTGCTGAAAGAATAGATAAAGTTCTCATAACAAAAAAATATTGCAACTCTGTGTGGTTATGGATGTTAACTAGACTTAATGTGCTGATCATTTCACAATACAAATGTTGAATCGTTCCATTGTACACACACTCTAATCCCTGCTCTAATTTTTTTTTCTGTAGTACTTACCACCTTTTAATATACTACATAATTTGCTTCTTTAACATTTATTATTATTTAGTCTCCTCTTCTAGAAGGTAAGCCTGAAGACAGATCTTTGTTTTGCCCGCTGTTATATCCTAAGTTACCTGAGCAGTGCATGGTACTAAGAGGCACTCAGAAAGTATTTGTTGAATAATGAATAAGGCCTTAAAAATGATGATTGGGAGATAGAGTAGCAACCAGAAAATGTTTATGAAGACAAAAGGCAGTCCAAGTATAAAAATTATAGTATTACATGTTTACAACTAACTGTTACCACTTAAAAACACCTCAGATAGTATAGCAAATAAAACTTAACTAAAAGTTGCATATAAAAGCAAAATGCTTCAAAATTAATATTAAGGATATTACTCAGCTCAGGTCGCAATAACAAATACCGTAGACTGAATGGCTTAAACAACAGAAATTTATTTCTCATAATTCCAGAGGGTGGAAATCCCAGATCAAGGTGCTGGCTGACTTGGTTCCTAGGGAGAGGCCCGTGCCTGGCTTGCTGTTAGGTGCCCTTTCTCTGGGTGCTCATATGGCCTTCCCTTGTTGTGTGTGTGCAGGGAAAGAGAGAGATACCACTTTTCTCTTCTTAAAAAGGCACCAGCCTTCTAGGGTTAGAACTCCACCCATATTTAACTGTAATTACCTCCTCAAAGGCGTATCTCCAAATACAATAAAAGCTTCAACTTACAAATTCGGAGGGTGGTGGGGAGACACACAGGTCAATCCATAGCATTCAACAAATGTACACAAAGTAGAACAAAATAATCCATTTCAGGGGAACGATTGAGACAACCGAATTGTCATAAACTACACTGAGTCTTTTCTGAACAAAGACAGAAATTTAAAGAAAAAGGAAAAAAAAAGAAGGAGAAAATGAAAAAAGCAGGGCCCCACTGAGGAAGAGAAACTCAGAACAGACTATATCATGCAAAACACAAAAGTATACGTTGCCAATATTAGAATATACAATGAAAAAGTTTTTAGATGTGAGCTTGAAAACGTACAAAGAGGTATACAGATTTTCAGAATCTTTTCAGGAGCACACAGGGAGAAGAAAATGAAGACCTTTGAATTTAGGACCTTCAGAGGAGTCTAATTTTAAGCTTAGTGTGGGGTCAGGGACACAGAAAGGTCAGTTTCTAAAGATGTTGAATAATTCCATACTAATCCTTAGAGAGATTGGTGAGCATTTTGATTTTTATTTACACCCAGACTGGCTCTGTGATGTTGCAGTAGCATCCCCACAATTCATATCCTTATACACATGCTATTTGAAATTGATTCTAAAACAGTTTGTGGGGGGTGGGGGTTGCCTTATATTAAACATTGTACTGACATGAAAACTTTTCAGTATTATTCTTTTGCACTATTTGAATTTTATGTAATTTAATCCACCTCATGTGGACAACACTAATTCACCTCAATGCAGCCTTGCACTTCTAGGCATGATGTCCTCATGGGTTTGAAAGTGAAAAGTGTGTTGAGAAAGAGTACCTCTTACCACGAGGTAGAGCCCATCAAAAGTGATGATTCTGAAATTTGAACAGGTTTGTCAACTATCAGACTCCTTCTACTTTAAAGTGTCTCTGGGGGAAAAAAATCAGCATTTTTCCATGTTGTTCAATAGAATTAACATTCCATGTTGTTCTGTGACATTAATTTGGATATGAAGAGTAACACATGTAATTTTCTTAAAATATGTATATATTTTTAAGATGTTCTCATTCCGGAGGGGAGGAACGTCTAGAAACTCCATCTGCTAAAAAATTAACAGACGTAGGAATTAGAAGAATCTTTTCGTCAGAGCATGACATTTTCCGGGAAAGTGTAAGGAAGTTTTTTCAAGAAGAAGTGATTCCTCATCATGCAGAGTAAGTGGCACATTTCCTTTTAAAGTGATGTTTCCTAGACCATTTCCTAGATGGCTGTGTGATGTCTACAGAAAGATACTGTGTTCAGTGCTTCTGTTAACATTTTTACTGCTCTTCACTATGATGCTGTAAGATCATGGGATTCTTAAGTTAGTTCAAGCTATTTAAATACATTTTTAAATATACAATCAAAAATTTTTTGAAAATTTACAATTAATCTAAGAACAGTGTTTTTGAAAACTGGTAAGTGGTGACAAAATATCAGTCAATTCTATATTCTTTCTTTTTCAGCTTCATGAATGAATTAAAATACATAAAAGCTGAAAAAGCCAGCAAAATGCAAGTTTTGGTAGACAGTTGGCTACCTCAGAGTACTTTTACTACTGGATGTTGATGAAAAACGTCAGTAAATCTTGAAGTTGAGCCAGAATTTGAACCTAGACTTGGGAAGATAGAACTGCTCCAGGTGAGGTAGGAGATAGGTTCCAAAGGGCCCAAGTCATACAGAGGTTTTTATATCCTCCAGGAGACAGGCAAGAGAGAAAGAACATCAGAGGGGTCCCTGTCATTTACATAAGACCTATTTATGTAAAGAAAGCAGTTGGGGACAATACAAATCCTGGCAGACATCTGATGCAGGAAGGAGAAGGAAATTAAGGGGAAAGGAAAGCATTTTGCTTATCCTTTAATAAGAATGTGGGTGCAAATGGTTTAGCTTTTAACTCAGTTAACAGATGGTTTTTAATTTTTCATGGATGGCCAATTTGAGACTCCCAGAGTTAATGAAACCTTCAATACTTAGGCCTTAAAAAAATTTTTGGTGGTCCCCAATAAGCGGTAAGCTTTTATTTATTTCATGTGGATGAGATATTTATTGATTAAATCATTTATTGCTGATTACCTACTTCATTGACCAAAAACCTTTTTCTATTAAAATAGGATTTTACTGTTTCCAAAATTCACTCAATGCCAGTACTTTATTATAATTAGAATGGCTCTTAAAAACATTTAAAAATAGCTTCCATTAAGTTTTTATTAATACTTTCGTGGTAAGAATGACCAAAATTAGTTGAACTCTGATGCCACGAGTAGTCTTTGGTGAGAAGCAATTAGCTTCTGAAAGATGAAGGAAGCATAATATACTTCATTCTAGGAGAATCTTTTTTATTTTTTACTAATTGTGAATTTTGTTCCATAAAAATTGGTGAAGACTTGAAGTAAAAATGAAAGAAGTTGACAAATTTGGTGTAAATAATAAAAATTTTCCAAAGCTACTTTAGGCAATAACTACATCAAAACACATGATTATCAAACTCTTTCTTTTAAAATTTCTTGGGGTACCTGTGTTTACCTTTAGTCCTTGTCTTTAAATACTCCATATCTTATTAACTATAGCTACCATTTAGAAAAATAAGATGAAACAAAACCAAAAGTTCTCAGATTCTTTATCTCCAATGAGCCATCATCTCTTTTCTCAGATGCCATTTTCATTTTTAAAGAAGAAAAGCGTATGTTGCACAATCTTATTCAAATATTTCATCTTTTCAGTCCATTTCACAGATCTGTACTGCAATATGCTTCTGCTTTTCTGTTGTTTCTACTTAAAGTAATAAGGCTGCTTGTTCTCATTACCTTTTCTATATGCTTTTCCTATGAATTCGGCACTTGAAGGAAATAAACAAAGTACAGTTGCCTTTACAGGACAGGTTGGGCAAATTGCCATGACTATTTGGCACAACTAAACTTGCATTCTGAGAATACCAACCGAGAGAAATTATACCCATAAATTCAGTGAATGTAATTTGCAGGTCTAATAATATCAAAGGTGACAGTGGCAAATAGGAAGCAAGGAAGAGAATAAGAAGGAGGGAGATGTGATAAAACAGAGGCAAATAGAAGCATATAGCAGTGTCAACAACAATTACCTTAAATTAGGGACCATTCCTGCACAAAACCATTCATAATTTCAGATTGTGGTCATTTTAATAATATGAAAACATTTTTTCTGATTTTAAAATGTTTTTAGATGGGAGAAAGCTGGAGAAGTGAGTAGGGAGCTTTGGGAAAAAGCTGGAAAACAAGGACTGCTTGGTGTCAATATCGCGGAGCACCATGGTGGTATTGGTGGGGACTTGTACTCGGCAGCTATCGTTTGGGAGGAGCAGTGAGTATGGAGACATTTGAAGTTGAGTCTTGTTTTGTAAACATGCTACTTAGTTTGTGAGATGAGAATAAAAAATGTTTCCAATCTTATAAGATTGAAAATTCAGTGTAAAATTTCAAAGATTACACCACTCATATACTCTTGTACATTTTTTAAAAGTGGGAAGATAGGAAACTCCCCTTTTAAGTTGTTAAAATAGTTGCTGTTGAAATTAAAGAGATAGTTTTATTTGTAAGTGCCCCATCTGTTTGTTTACCCTCTTTTAAAAAGATATTTGAAAGAAAACAGAAGAGTAGGAGAAAATTTCCATCAAATATACTTAAATTTTAATACATAAGAACAAAAAAAGATCTCAGTTTATAAATGGGCAAAAGATTTGAACCAACAATTCATCAAAAAAGAAATAAAAATAGATTCTTACTACCAATCAAATGCAAATTAAATTAATTTGAAGGTACTGTTTTGAATATCTATTAAAGTTGGTAAAAATGAAAAATCATAATATACTGTGCTGACAAGGTTGTAGTGAAAGTAATGGTCATACTATTAGTGGCATTATAAATTGGAACAATAAATGCTTTGGGGATTAAAAATATGTATACATAAAAAACAGGAAAATATTTCTGCTTTTTGATCTAGGATGCCACTTTGGGAAATTTATCTTAAGGAAATAATTGAATAGAAAAAAATAGCAGCTATGTACAGAAATCATTGTCATGTTAGATCATAATGCCCCAAATTGGGAGCAATCTAAATGTCTGCCAGTGGGAGCATGAATATGGAAAGTATAATAGATAAACAATTGGAATATTTCGTAGGCATTTAAGATTATTATTATTGCAACAACTATGTTAAAAAAGGATTTTTTTCAGTCATACAATTTAAAAAGAAAATAGCTAAGTAGAAAATTCACACCATGATTTCAGGTATATGTAAGAATATATCCTTATGACCAAAGTAGTTTGCCAAGATGAAAATAGTTGCTGTGTTAGGTTAATACAATTGCAGGTAATAAATGTTTTTGCATGTTTAATATTCTAACTATTTAATAAGTGTTCATGGAACTCTGTTAGAATATTGTTATTATAGTAGAGGCAGAAATGAAAAGATGAGTAAAAACAAAAAAGAGAAAATCTTTAGGAACTTTATAGGTTTGTGGGAAGACAGGCTATTACCACACAAAGTGTTAAGACCTTTCATATTTTTGTTGTAGCTTTTTAATTAAAAATCAAAGAAGTTAAAAACAACAAAATAACTATTTTGTGCTTTATATTTTCTTCTTTTTCTCTTTCTAAGAGCATATTCGAATTGTACAGGCCCAGGTTTTAGTCTTCATTCAGATATTGTCATGCCCTATATTGCAAACTATGGCTCAGAAGAACAGATTAAGCACTTCATCCCCCAGATGACTGCAGGGAAATGTATTGGTGCCATAGCAATGACAGAGCCTGGGGCTGGAAGGTAAATCAATCTTCGGTTAGTTTTGAATTCTTGGAAGCAATGGTCTAACAACAAATATTTTCTTGGTACTTGCTTTATACAAAACTGAGCGATATACTAGGAAGAATACAGAGATGAACACAGCATAATTAACAATCTCAAGTAACTTCAAACTCCAGTAGGAAGATGAGGCTTTATCATAATACAAATAACAATAAAATGATTATAATGTATGCTGTGTTTGAGATACTAACATAGTAGAATGCAAATAAAATGGTAGAATATGGGTTGAATTTGGGGGATGATGAATTTTTAATGTGGTGGGACATTCACATGGAAATGTTCAACAGGCAATTAAAAATAATGGACTTGAAACTCTGGGAGAGAGGCTGGGGTGACAATAGATTTTAAGAACCACTAATATATAAGCAAGAATTGGAGCAATAGGAATGATGAATAAGGCCATTTGAAGATTATTTAGTAAGTGTCTTCAGTGTGCCAGGTGTACACTGGTGAACAAAAGAGATCGTGATCTCTGTGCTTATTGAAGAGAATGACAAGAAACATGTAAGCAAATAGATTTGTAATTATAAATTACAGTATGTATTATGAAGGAAACATGTGCTATGCTAAAGGCTAATGGTGTGTGTGTGTTTAGTGGGGAAGGGAAAAACGAAATTATATATGAGTGCTCATGAAGGCCTATAAAAAGCGGCTAATTTAAACTCAGATCTGACAAATGAGAAGGAACTGGTTATGCAAGAACAGGGGGAAGAGCTTCCACAAGGTGAGACTGGATCCTCAAGGGGTAAAGGGAAAGGATGAAAAGGAGGCCAAGGAGGAAACCTGGAGTAAGATGTTTCATTTGCAACTGTACGAAAGGTAGAGCAGTAGACACAGAGGACTGAGTATGAAAGAAATCTAGATAAGTGCTCTTTCATGAGTGTGAGGGGAAGTGATTTGAAAAGGCAATAGGATAGGAGTGAGGATTTAGTGATGTCAAGGCCACGAAGGTGTTACGAATTGAGAAAAGGTCATGGCAGGCCTCTGGTGGTCTTTTTATTTTTTTAACAATTTTTTTCATTAAGGTATAATTGATACACACACTCTTATGAAGGTTTCACACGGAAAACAATGTGGTTACTACAGTCACCCATATTATCAAGTCCCCCCCCATACCCCATTGCAGTCACTGTCCATCAGTATAGTAAGATGCCACAGAGTCACTACTTCTCTTCTCCATGCTACACTGTCCTCCCCATGATCCCCCCACACCATGGGTACTAATCTTAATACTTCTCAAGTCTCTTGTTCCTCCCTCCCCACCCCGCTGGTGGTCTTTTGATTGTGACTTCAGTAAAGAAGTTACTTTGCAAGGGAGTAAGACAGGTGTTGAGAAAATTGAGGCAGAGAAGATAGACTAAACATTTTTCAGAGTTGTGTGGTGAAAGGAAGTGTAGAGTGGACAGCTGTTTGAAAGGCTAGCACAGTAAGGGAAATAGTTTATGTAGTAGAGAGGAGCAACCTAGGCCAGTGGGACACAGGCAATGCAGAGGAAGAACTTAAGATGTGGCAGAAGCAGTAATTGAAAATTCAAGACTTGTTTCTGCAAAGATCAGGCCCTAATGGCTTAAATTTTCTTTTCTGACAGTGCTATTTATTTTGAAGTGTCTTAATATTCCATAATGCCACTTGGCAATGGGCTTAAATTTTATTTATCTTTCCCAAATATAAGTCTATAATTATGGGCCAATACTGATACTTAATTTTGCCAAAGGTAAAAGGTTTTGTTATTTTGCCTTAAAATGTGATTTAAAAGGAGCAGAAATTCAATTTTCCTTCTTCTAAGATAATTCTTTAAGATAACTGGCTGACCGACCAATATTCTGTTTGCATCACAATTAACCATGAATCAGTATGTTTCTGTCCCAGTCCACTGCATATTAGCTCTTACCTCAAGGCAACAAAATAAATTTTGTTGGATTTATCCCCAGCAAAAAGCCTTCCTTGATTTTTGTTTATTTAAATTTTCTGTCATCATCTGTGGATAGGTATGTATAATTAAGAAGGAAATATCAGAATGAGAATAAAGAAAAGAAAAAGATTGTTTGGAAGGTTGGCAAGAGTAATGGAAGGATAGCAAATCAGTTAGATATTCAGAGAGACAAGCAAAGCGGCCAAGTAAGTGAGAGAATGCAAGAATGGAGAAAAGCTGCAGGTGAAGAGTCTTCCACTGTTGAGGCCTTATGGTGAAAAATACAGGAAAAGTATGTGGGAAGGAAAGAATAAAGAAGGTGGGACATGGTTCATTTCATCTTACTTCGGAGATGGGTTGGCCACTGTTTCTTGCTTTGACTTGGCCTTCACAGAAAAAGAAGTCAAATTTGGTGGAAAAGATACAGGTCTTGACTGACCCTTTGCCTTTCCACATACATAGGAGATTCTGTTATATGTAATTATGTATGATACCATAGCATTTTATATGCTTTCATGTTGATTTTCTTAGGTGGCTATCATAATAACCTATATAACATATAGAAATGTTGTGATCTCTATGGAAGGAGAATATAAGAAATGAAAAACGAAGTATTGTAACCAATTTCATAGAGAAAACTGATGACTGCATTGGATCCAGGGTGTTCTGATACCACTGTGTGATTGTGGGCAAAATCTCTGGGCCTCCATGTCCGTATCAGTGAAATGGAGAAAATGATACTTAATTGGATTGTTATGAGGATCTGAATTCTTGGCCATACAAAGTGGTATATTTCAGAACCATTTTTAATATTTCCAAATAATTGGCTTAAATTTTATTTATCTTTCCCAAATATAAGTCTATAATTATGGGCCAATACTGATACTTAATTTTGCCAAAGGTAAAAGGTTTTGTTATTTTGCCTTAAAATGTGATTTAAAAGGAGCAGAAATTCAATTTTCCTTCTTCTAAGATAATTCTTTAAGATAACTGGCTGACCGACCAATATTCTGTTTGCATCACAATTAACCATGAATCAGTATGTTTCTGTCCCAGTCCACTGCATATTAGCTCTTACCTCAAGGCAACAAAATAAATTTTGTTGGATTTATCCCCAGCAAAAAGCCTTCCTTGATTTTTGTTTATTTAAATTTTCTGTCATCATCTGTGGATAGGTATGTATAATTAAGAAGGAAATATCAGAATGAGAATAAAGAAAAGAAAAAGATTGTTTGGAAGGTTGGCAAGAGTAATGGAAGGATAGCAAATCAGTTAGATATTCAGAGAGACAAGCAAAGCGGCCAAGTAAGTGAGAGAATGCAAGAATGGAGAAAAGCTGCAGGTGAAGAGTCTTCCACTGTTGAGGCCTTATGGTGAAAAATACAGGAAAAGTATGTGGGAAGGAAAGAATAAAGAAGGTGGGACATGGTTCATTTCATCTTACTTCGGAGATGGGTTGGCCACTGTTTCTTGCTTTGACTTGGCCTTCACAGAAAAAGAAGTCAAATTTGGTGGAAAAGATACAGGTCTTGACTGACCCTTTGCCTTTCCACATACATAGGAGATTCTGTTATATGTAATTATGTATGATACCATAGCATTTTATATGCTTTCATGTTGATTTTCTTAGGTGGCTATCATAATAACCTATATAACATATAGAAATGTTGTGATCTCTATGGAAGGAGAATATAAGAAATGAAAAACGAAGTATTGTAACCAATTTCATAGAGAAAACTGATGACTGCATTGGATCCAGGGTGTTCTGATACCACTGTGTGATTGTGGGCAAAATCTCTGGGCCTCCATGTCCGTATCAGTGAAATGGAGAAAATGATACTTAATTGGATTGTTATGAGGATCTGAATTCTTGGCCATACAAAGTGGTATATTTCAGAACCATTTTTAATATTTCCAAATAATTATAACCAAATAATATTTAATACCATTCAAAAGTTTTTCTAAAAATCCACAGACTGACTGGTGGCAGGATCAAGGTGGCATGTAGAAAGAGCCTGAGCCCACCTTCTCCCACCTACACACTGAATCTACCTACACACGGACAATTCATTGTGGGAGAGAACTGAGGCCTGAGTGAAACTGCACAATGAAGGATAAAAAGACCACATATAAAAATGGCAGGAGAGATGGAGACATGGTAATAGAACGAGCCTTCTCCCTGCAGTAGGGATGGATATCACTGACCTCCTGGAGCACAGAGTCACCTACCCTGGGGTACAGAAAAAAAGCTACAAATTGGGGGTTTAAAGCAAACCACTGCTATAATTGAAGGAAGCTGATTTTCAGAACTCAAGCACTCATCAGGCAGGGCAACTGCTGGAATTCTCTCTGGGACTGGAGGTGCTGGTGGGCACCATTGTTTGCATTCCTCCGGCACTGCTCATGCAGACAGGAGCAGGATGAGTGTTAACTGTTTACTTTCTTCCCGTGTGTTGTCAGGGCAGATGGAAAGAGGGTGAGCTACATCGTTTACATTCCCCATGCCATTGATAGTGCAGACAGAAGCAAGGGCAGTGTGAACACACAAGCTCCAGATGTGATGGAGGCAGCCACTTGGCCCCCACTCACACCAAACACACCTGTCCGAGATCCGCCAGTCCCACTGGTGTGGTATTAGCATGACAGTCAAGTAGATTTACTCTTCCCATGCCCCTTCCATCCCTGACCACCCCATTTCTATGCCTCCCCCACAGTGCCAATGTGGATGACACCTGGAATGCTCCCATCCACCCCCAGCCACCCTATTAGTGTGGCCCTAGCTGGTTCCCACCTAGGAGACTCCCTGACTGTTCTTCTGCCACTAATTGCCCCACAAGAGAGGTCCCAGCCTCTTGCCCACCCAGGGGCTCTAACTGTGGCCCTTCAACACTGGTTGTGCTACCAGCATGGCCCTGGCTGGCAACCACACAGAAGAACCCCAGCCCATGCACCAGGATACCCCATCCATGCCCACGTAGCCTCCAGCTAGCCAAAGCCTCCAGGCATATGCAGTCTGCCAAGGAGATGTTTCGACACAAGGCCACAC